CGAACACGACGTCGACCGATGTGGCTGGTCCAACATCCTCCTCGAGTCTTCTAAATACATGTTCCCACCAAATGTCAATCTCGGCAAACGCTTCACCGCTCTTGGTGTCGATCTCATTATTCTCGGCATCTTCCTCTCTCCTTCTATCAAAAATATACTCTCCAACAGCTTCTTCCTTTGGTTTGGCCGAAACAGCTTTGCCGTCTACCTTACACATGGTACGCTACTGAAGACGGTTCTAACCTATATGATTTACGGCAACATCACTGGAGAGCCATGGGTCGTCACCAAGAACGAAAAAGGAGAGGACGTCCTACCGCCATGGTTCCCTCGGGGATCTCCCGGAGTATTCGCCATTTGCATACCAATTTGGCTGGTGATAGTGTACACCGTTGCCCATTTCTGGACAACATATGTCGACTCCTTCTGCGCAAGAGTCACTCAGCGACTCGAAAACCTTGCCTTTGAGTCCGACAACGAGAAAACCCAACAACTCCCTAGGTGATAGGAATAATGAAAGCATAAGTGTGTGTGAATTTTCTACATTTAGATATATACCCTTGTTTATTTAGTTGTCTCTTTTCTGTCCTTTCACTCTTTTTCCTAAATGTCAGGCATTGGACTAGCCGTCCGTTTCTTTTCTTTTTTTTCTTTTTGGATATTTCCTATACCTAGGTCTGAAAGAAATGTACATTTCTTATGTATCGTATACACTAGTTACCCTCTGGCTTATGAGTCCTTATTCTAGCGCTATAGTACATATCTTCCTGCTCCCACCACTGCATATTTTTGGATATATTACCTCTAGAGCGAGATAGCAAACAATTAATGTATTATTTTATTGGTTGTCACTCCTGCTTATAGGCTATCTACATACTTAATAATAAGTAGAGCTATCACAAGCCACAAACTCGGAAAGACGTGAAAAACGGTATCGATCCATCAGCAATTCATATATTGCTGATTTTCATTCATTCATGCCGTCGTCATCGTAATATCATTCAGTCATCACTCACTCCTTTCTCTTTCTATCCCATAGATGCTCGAGATGCTCGAGGTTTCTTCCAATCAACCTGAGAGCATCCCTTTCTACCTGCTTAGCAGGGAACTCGATACCTCGTTTGTTGAGAGAAGCCTCGGACGCCTCTTTCTCGAGCTGAACTATACGAAGCATCAGTAACTTGGCTTCTCCTCGGTAATATATATAGCCATAGCTTCAAGTTCAGAACCAACTTACCATGAATACGGACTGCAGCTCGTTTACCGCTGAACATGGCGTGAACTCCATTGGTGCTGCCGTCATTGTTGGCATCTCCGACAACATACACACCAGGGATGGAAGATTGCATTCCTCTAAAGTCGACCTTGATCTTGTTCCACTCCTTCTCATCACGCTCCAAGCCCAGCTGGTCAGGTAGATCAGACGCTTGGACGGTTGGGAAGTTCGTGATGAATACACTTCGTTCGACACTCTCGCCGTCCTCGAAGTTGACCCTGAACTTGTCATATTCATTCCAGTTCTTCTCATCATACACCTTGGAACCATCCTGAAGACGATCAATGGAAGTGATCAAATTATTGTTGATCTTGACATTGTAACGCTGTAGCCGTTCCCTCCATCCGGGATATCTTTGATTCAAGTAGTCAATATCATCCGGATTGTGCTCGGTGCCGTTCACGAACGCAATGATGTCTTTGTGCAAAGTGCGGACTTCAAAGACGCTATCCACGACACTTCGGAGCCGTCCCAGGATGCCAAAGGGCTGGTCACGGTGCTCCCAGCCATCACACCATGGGCACCAGTAGATTCCCTTGCCAAAGTTCTCCCGAAGTCCCGGAGTGGATGGGATAACATCTCTCACACCAGTACCAAGCACAATTTTGCGGGCCGTGTATGTCATACCAGTCATGTCAGTTACGAGAAAGTTGTATTTCTTCCCACCGTCTTCGAAGATCTTGGTGATGTTGGTCACCTTGACGTCCTTTATGCTAGTGGTGTCGTAGCGGCTGATCTGCTCTCTCGCCTTCTTGCGGAATTCACTTGGGACAATTCCTGCCGTCACCTATTCAGTACACTCGTGTGACTAGTTATAAGGAATAGCCGAGAACATACCATCATCGGTGATTATATCATGTATATGTCGGGTGACGCCGTTGCGATAGTAGCCAGAGTCAAAGAGCAAGGCGTTTCGTCGAACTCGGCCAAGGGAACTCAGTGTGCTGAGTCCGGCGGGGCCACCACCAACGACGATGACATCGTAGGTCTTTGGTGCCTCTGACTTGGGTGATTCTATGGCAGAGCTCCCAGTAACAGGGGCCGAAGTGACACAAGAGAGAACGGAAGCAAGAGCAAAAAGGGCGACGGCAAGACGTTGGACACCCATGCTGACAGATTGTCTCTATCTCTTGTGAGCAACTGATTGTTCAGGAGAGCTTGATATCTTCTTCTTTCTCTTCTCAACATCATTCTCAAGGGAGCGTTGGACGAAGCCTTTATACCTCTCTTCTGGCATTGCAGTTTTATTCGGCTCAAGGGGTCAGGGAGCGTTACGTCCTCGCATCGCATGTCCATGACCGGGTGTGCTTTGCTCTCTATCAAGATGAAGTCCGAAGCTCTGAGGGACTATACTCAAAGTCCAGCACCAAAAGTGGGATCCGAGTAGTTCCGTCCATCCATGAGCAACTCCATCGGCTCAGAACTATAGATTCTCGACCACATATTATTTTTCCGCGTGGGGAATATACGGCAAACCTGACAGAGCAAGGGGGGACGATAAGGCAACCAAAAATATCGCAGAGACGAGAGTCGCCTCCGAGTCCAATTGCGTTCAATTGAGTCCAATTGCGAGAAGATGTCCACCTGCTGGAAGGCTTTGAGCAGCATCTGACAGCCCTGTCACCGTTGTTATATTGACTGGTGCTATAGCCGACGGAGGCCAAAGAGCCTAGAATCCAGCATGATATTTGCCAGATGACGTCTCGCTTGCGCACATAGAGTACGGGGTATCATAGACAAGCAATCTGCATGTCCGCGGCCATGGTCGAAGATGGTCGAAGGGAGAAAGAAAAATGCAAAGACAAGCTCTTGCTGGTGGCTCGACTTGTGGTTGAAGTATAAATCTACTAGTTGTCCAACTAGTTCGTGGCCTAGTCACATCTGACTCTACGCCGGAAGAGGTGAACGAAAACGAGTGGCTAGAGAGCGCCTGAGAAGCTTCCTTGCATACATAGAACCAACTGGCTGGCTGGCTAGCTGCTGACAATGCGGTGGAGAGCTGCCAGAGCAGGTAACGAGCCGGTCAACTAACCAGATGGCTAGCTACCAGCTACGTCGGCTTACCGGAGGCGACCTGCGTGGACAATTAAGCCAAAAAGGCGATGCAAGGAAAAGCTGCAGTTGCTATTTGCTCGGTCTCTCCGTGGACACTTCTCAACCGGCTTCCATTTCCTGTCATCATCATGATAATAATACTTAAGCAACGATATATACACCACCCATGGCTAGATAGATAGACACCCCGCCCGCTAATGCAGCTGTTGGCAGACCCGAATGATTCCCATACTCCGTATGCAAGTACTCCCATTCTCCAAAAAACGCTCCAATCGAAAATGAAATACCTCCCTGCCGAACTCCATTTTTGTTGTTCCCTTTCCCATATACGAAATCAAACCGGAACCTCCTCTACCTCTTCGGACTTTTTGGGGTTTTCTGATTTTGACGAGGTGCCAGGACAGCCTGCCGAAGTCTCCGAGTGCGAAGTCCCTCTGCCCGTGTCTAAGCTTTCGATTTTGACGTGCACCTCGCTCACTTTGACGATAGCGTCCCCCCGACTGTCCGTTCCCTGGACAATAGCCTCCTGACTCTCGGTAGTTGTCTTCGGCTCAACTCCGCTGTGGTAGGAGTTGAGAGGGTAGCAGCGAGTCTTCATCCCCGGGTTCACGCCATATATAGTTGCCCCTTCATCCTTTGTGCCATACAGACTTGTGTCCGTAGCCCAATATGGCCGAGGCTTCCTCCTTGTTGCCGGCTTTCGCAGCATACTACGGGGCCACGAGGTTGACCCTGATGACCCCGTCGCTCGAGAAGTGGCTTCTCTGAGGATGAGTTTGACAAGGGGACCAAGCATAGGGATACAGGCAGCAATCATGATCAGGTATTGTTCAATGCATAGCCAGAAAAGCAGGTCAATTGTGTTCCACGAGTAGTCTGCACGGGCAGATAGCCGCGAGAGGAAAACAGTTTTGACGATAGAAGCGCCCACCGCTCTGTACAACATATAGTTAGTTAAAATGATGGTAAACAAGAGACTTCTTGAAAAAGAAACAAAAAGTAAAAAGAATGAAAGAAAGGATGTAAAGTGAAATGATATACATACACAAACCCAAGTGCAAAGATGGCTGCCAGGGCTAACTTCACACGTAACGGCATCTGCAGTTTGGATATTAGCCGCACAGGGTAGATGGCGAGTGCAAGGTCAGACGCCGCAGAAACAGCTGTGGAGAACGAGTTCAGTTAACGAGCTATTCGAGAGCTTTGACATCCAATATCAAAACGTGGAAGCCAGGCTAACTAACCTCCGGTAAAAAACGCAAAATCTCTTTGGATTCGAGGATTCCAGCATTTGCCTTTGATGCTGTGATCCCATAACGATTGCACGGGCATGCATTGTCCATAGATGGTGAATATACAAACAAAGTTGACGACGGACAAGAATACCATGCCGCCGTAGAAATAAGGAGCCTGTCGGGTTGCATGGCCAATAATGCGCAAAAGGAATAACATAATGGACACCTTAGCCCAGTTAGTGGACGCAACATGGAACCCTTGAGAGATCCAGTTGTATTTATCTGCCTGCAATGCTTCCTCTGGTGTGAGGTAGAATTGGTGCCGTCCGGTGCCGTGTGCTATGCTGGTGGTGACCATGGCAGCGTTGACCACAGCACATGCCTAGACGAGAGAAAGAGCCACCACGTTAGAGCCGCTCACATTCACTTAACAAAGATGACAAGATGATAATTAATATATTTACCAGGGCAAGTATGATGAAACCATCGTCCCACCCAAATGCTCTCACGACTTTGACGCGTGTCCATATTCTGGCGAGGACAAGAAGAAGAGATACGCTGAATCCCGTCCAGGTTAAGATGATAATGATGTGGCCCTTGTTAACGTCGCCATCTGGCGGCTTCTCCGGTAATATCATGTTGTTCTGTGTCTGGATGTGTAGTCTTCAGACCCTGAGCAAGTCCGTTTCTTCATCAAAGAAAAAGTCGGCAGTCAGGGGGAGGGAAATAAAGGTTGCCTCCCGTCTCCATGATGGGGGCTACGGAGCAATGGAGCCATCTTATATGAAAAGCGGAGGATCATCGCGCTGGCTCATGGTATTAATTTTTCGCTGCACGGCTTTTGCCACTAGGAGCACACACCCCTGGGCCTTTTATGCTGGTAGTATCGTATTTTCTCTCTCCTTCGCAGGGTATAATGTTAGATCTGCGCTATACCCAGACGGTGAAGATCATTCTCGATCTTCCCAAGACAAAACAGACCAAATAATATCAGAGTCCGAAGCGCCTGGTAACTAGAAAACGGGTCCCAATGCACGTCACTGCAATAGCGGGCTGTCCATGATTGTTTCCCCTCTTTTTAACTGATGTGACGCCTCGTTTGCCGTAGATCTCAGATTCGCCGTTCGCGAGAAAGCTTGTCAAGGGGGCATATTTGACGGCTCGGGACGAAAAAAATTACTCCGTCCCAGGATGAAGGAAGTCGTTCATGCATAAGAACTTCGATTGGAGGCATGTTACTCTGGTATCCAGATGCCAGGGTCCCAGTGTCCTATCGGAATACTCGAAAAACGCCAGGGAGAATGATGAGCCACACTATCAGGAGAATCATGCTTATCACCATGTTGGTGCTCGTGTTACATCGACAAGAGATTTAAAAGATCTCTATATGTGCTGCTGGGCGTGCGAGCCAGGGCGTTTTTTTTTGCGCCGTCTTTGCTTCTGGATAACTAAAGAACCGTGGAGACCCAGCGGCCGGCCCGCCAAACTGGGGCAAGACAAGACAACATTTCCAAAGGCATGGTCGTTGTGAAACATTAATAACACTCTGGAAGATACGGAATATAATGCAGCGAACAGTGCTTCTTGAACGGCACATTAAGGTACAGGGTACATGTGAACATAAACAATCATGGGAGCTAGACAAAATGTTGCTTTTTTCCTAATTGAGAATGAAGATGGTGAAAAGGCGATGGCAAAATGACACGTGATAAACACTTTTAGGGGCCCAACAGGCACACAGGAGAAAGCCGAAGAGGCCGTGAGTGCGACTATCGTCGGGTCCAGGGTCCGTGAACCAATGTATGGCGTGTTGTGTGGGTAGTGAGCCGTGCATAGTATATGCGGTTACCTCGGCAGTGTCAGACCATGGTAGCAAGAAATCTAAGTACTTATTCACTTGAGCTGGGGGTGTTCGCTGCCAAAACCAACACGGCAGACGGGTATCGTACAAAAAGATAGTTGAAAAGCTAAATCAACGGTTAAAAAGCATGACAGAGGGCTGGAACAGGCTCTGAATTAATAACAGTATTTCATTAAAAGGTGACATTCACGCAGAAGGAAACGGGAAAATCTGTTTTCTCAACGGGAGTAGAGGGTAGAAAAGCAGACAGGAAGGAAACATGTTTCTGTAGCCTTGTGGCTAGCTAGTCTGGAGAATCACTGAGAGTTTTCATTCAGGGCCAAAAAAAAAAAAAAAGAACCCCTGCAGCAACTGCAACTTGAAGAAGGCTCGGTCAATTGAACGATAACTGCGTCCGACTGGACCGGTTCGCTTCCCCCCTGCCAATAAACCATCACCCTCGGACGGCTCAGCCGGGCCAAGGAGACAAGGGTAGCTCGGCTTCTGTGGGGGGCAAAACAGGATGGATAAAAATAACGAGGGATAGGTTATCACAAAGGGAAAAAAAGGCTGAGGGAATCGAAAACAAGCAAAATCCAGAAGTCCCAAAAATGTCAAAAAGGCAGGAAGGTTGGAAACATAAAACACCGTGTGCGCCTTCGCCAAACTTCCTCAAAATAGTCATACAAGCCGTGGGGGCAAAAAAAAAAAACGGGAAATAGTATACAAGAGGAAAAGTATCGAGGGTCAAGCGATGTACTCTTGACCAGCAGGGAGCTTGGAAGGTACTCGAAGGTGCATCGGCGGTAGAGGTTTCATCCCCGTTAAAACGAGAGAACAGATTCTACCACGCCAAGATGGAAGTTCGGTTGGTAGAACCGGGTTGTTGTATATAAATGAAGTATGTGGCGTAGATACCACTTGTGTCACCATCCGTAATTCGTAACATGGTGATAGATGCGGATTATGAGGGCATGGTTGAGGCTGAAATTCCACCATCGAAGGCAAAAGTGACGGCTGAGTAGGTTCATCGCACATCCCTGTCTTCCTCGAAGGAGTTTGATGTAATGTTGGCGTTTATTTCCACTTCACTCCGTCGAAGCCGGAGCGTTTTTTGTCACCGCAGCCAGCGGGATCTGAGTTATGTATACAGGGTTTTGAGGATCTTTTTGTGCCTGGATGTTGACCTAGTAGATTTCGAGGAATACATGTTAGCGACTTGAATAAAATACTGTGGATATTGATGGCGATCGAGCTCCAATTGATGAAATAAAAAAATGTCGCTTGATGCCTACCTTGGCCAGTAGGTGAAGAGTAACCGCTACTGGAAGAGCTTCCCGTGGAGCCAACAGAAGCTTGAGATTTGTGAGGCATGTTGAGAGTATTCCGGGAGTTGTTTGTATGGCTTGTGGTTGAAGGTTTGTGAAAAGAGATAAGCTTCCGCTTTTTGTTAAGACGGAAGGCTGGTTGCGGTAGAAGATAGAGGAAATTTGTTGTCAAGAGACGAATAGACAGGAGATTGGGCTTGTATGTAAGCTTGAGATGAGATGTAGAGGCGTGGAAGATGTGTTGAGAAAGACGTGAATCGGGAGGAAGAATCTCCAGGTATTTATAATCTGGAGGAAGAGGCTTGAGAAGAAATCGAAGGTCACAAAGCACTCCGGGATTCGATGAATCGACAAGAGGGCGGATGAGGAGAAGCAGAGCCTCCAGGTCAAAGCCAACCAAGGTATTTTCCTCAGGTATGATCTTTTTGCCTTGAAGAGCTCTAAAGATAGAAAGTGCCTCGGGGTTGAAACTAGGCAACCAAGGGGACAAGGAGCAGCAAGATGGTGAATTCTGTAGGCACCAGACGAAGGAGGGCAATGAGAGATGTCTTTTTTTGGTTCTTAGCAGGGTATCTGATGACCTTCTACTATGTACGTCATGGTAGATGGGCCAGGCAACGAGTGATGAAAATTTGAGGACGAAATAAAAAGAAGCAGCCCAGAGAATTAGGCAGAACTGTCAGCAAGCGGAGAGGAAACGAAGCTCATTCGACGAGGAATCGAGTTCTGTGGCTGGCAAGGCAGAAGGAGATCAGTATCTGCACAGCTTGCTTCCCAGACGTTGAATGAAGACGCAAGAAAAATATGAGAGGGATCAGGAGGGAAGAGAGGAAAAAAGACGGGGAGAAGAGAACGGAGTGACCACCCCGGGGAGCAGCAGCCCAGCTAACAGGGGCCACGAACCCCAAAAAACAAAAAAGGGCTTGCAGCACGGTGATGATAGGCCAGGCTAGTCAGTGAGACAGCGTCAATTGAACGTGGTTCAACTCTCTGGCCTCTAGGATCGAAGCTGTTTTCGCGGTCGTCCAATTGACGCGGCCGTTTTGTATGGCGTCCGGGGAGAGGTGAAGGGGGAAAAAAAGCAAAGGATGGTGAAGCCAGCCAGACCAACTCAAGCCCACCGCATTGCCCAGGGGGAGGAAGAGGGTGATAGGCCCTGGTCGAAGATCCAAGCCAGGGAAACAGAGGACAGGTATCTCCGTAGTTTCAGTCACTCAGGAGGTCCGGCCAGGGCGATCGTCACTCGCATCAGTACCTCAGCAGGCAGCAGCAGGCAGCAGCAGGCGCATTGGCTCGATATCCCAGCAAACAAGAACAGGCTGCAGCGCGTCGCGAGGTTGTCCAGCAGCACAAGCATCACAGGCACAACCGGGGAGGTTGGAAGGTCGAGCGACGTCGTCAAGTGAGATTGCGATGTTTTGATGCCAGCAGAGCTTCCCCCTTCGGGCCTAGCGCGGCGTCGCTGCTGCTGCTGTTTCGCGATGGCTGGGGCTCGCCCAAAGAGGAAAGGCGGCGAGGACAGGCAGAAACCTACGGCCCGAGCCCTGCCTTTTCGGCCCAAAGCGGTTTAGCCTGGGTACTGCTGAGTCAGCAGTGAGGCGGCCACAGAGCTAAGCCCTTTTGGGGCCCAACATCACGTGTTGATGGGGCGACCAACAAATAGACTCTCACGTGATACCCTTGCCCAGGCTTACCCCTTTTAGGCATAGGCGAGGCCTTTGCCGCTGCCCAAGATGACGGAGGAAAAGGGATGCGAAGGAAGCGCGCAAGCCACGACAGGAATAGTTCTGGGACGGCAGAAGTGAGGCCTCAAGCGGTTCGATGGTCCCGGTGGTCCAATACAGTAGATTAGCCACACCCAGAGACGCTTTTTACAGACCTCCTGAACGTGAGCCCTGAGTGCAGCGTGGCTGAATAATTCGGATGGTGGCGACGTCATCGCGGGCCAGACCAGACACTGCTGTGACACTTCATAGGGAAAGCGATGAAGACCAGAGGAAGAGCGGTCTACCTGATCACTCCGTACTCCCTATAGCGGGTATAGGTATTCATAGCAGCAGTTTACCACCAATCACTCACGCTAAGCAACCTGACGAGATACGGATAACTAAGCAGGGCTCGCTATACCCGACACCCTCTCGCTCTCTCCCCCCAATAACCCACAGACCGCAAGTCCTGGCAGACGGCTGAAACCATGACGTGGTTCTATGATTCTATTTTCGTGGACAACGCCTTTCTACTGAACCTTACAATATGACCTTTCTGCTGATAAAGATGGTGTAGGAGGGGGAGATAGGTACGGCCCAAACTGCGGTGTGAAGACAGGCTCGAGAAATGCATCTGCAACGTCAAGCAAGTCATCTGCTTCGGTTCCTTGTCATACTATTATTTTACTTCGTGCATGCGCTGTCCCTATCTCTATACATTCCCAACGTATCTCCATATTGGGAGCGTTAGGCGTGGAATGCGGGTGGCTGGCTCATGGCCTCCACTTGCTGCAGGTCCCGGCTGTATGATGCGGCTAGCCCAGTGCCATCACTGCGTTAATGTGTACAGACATGCCCACACACCAGAGGTGAAGCATATAGGAGATACCGGCGTTGCAGGATTTGGCATGGGAGCGGTGTGAATCTTTTGAAAGACACCTTATTAAAAGTCACCATCGGTTTTTCACCCGGCGACAGGGATATGTGCCTAGCAGAAAAGGACGAAAATCGGATTCCTTTGAGTCTACTGCGTAATACTTTTGACCTTCGTACCAGAAATTGAAGAAATTTGAGGGAATTTGGTTGAAGTGGTAAATGTTTTGCATAGCTAACTCCGGAGTAGTTAATCACTGAGAAACCCAATTTGTTAAGCTAGCTCGATGATGTCATACGAAAATGGACATCTGCGCCCACGACCTTTCAAATCCTCAAAGCTCTTAAGACAACAGAGAGAGAAGAGTACCTAGATACCTATACCATTAAGAACATAGCAGCTCCAGGCATCAAAGCACGTACGTACAGCATCTGTATGGATTCCCCAGAAGGGCTACAGAGTAATACCCTTGACATGAAAAGACAGCCACCACCTTCCATGACAGGCCTCCTGAATAATTGGGTTGAACCACCAACCAAACCCATACGCCTTCAAACTGCGTACAAACATCATTGAATAAAAAAAAATGCCACATTACCTCTTGCGGAATGACGGATTCAGGCAATTTTGGCTTCTTTAGGTGGCTTACTTAAATGGGAGAGTTCGCCCATATTCTCGCTGAAATTTCATCATTTCTTTTCATTCATACGCCACGGATTCACGGTCACGAAACACACGTTTTGTTAACAATATTATCCCCTTCACCCTTTCTTTCGTTTTCGCACCATGGACGAAAGGATGGCACACAACATGGAGCAATCTGACGCTGTAGCTTGGTCTATAGACCTTACCATCTCACCAGCACACCTCATCACTGTAATATTGACCGTGATCTTGCTATTCCGCTTCCTATTCGGCAGGATCACCAACTTCGAGGAGCTCTTTGATAAAATCCGCATATACTGGGTATCCAACAAGATCCGAAAGGCAAAAGAGCTCTTTCAAACAGATACCCAGATCCAAATACAAACGGACTGGATCAAGAAGCGTGAGCTCCTCGACGCGGAGCTAGAAGTCCTGAGGCAGCGGAACTATTACCTTCGAGAGACCTTCATTAAACATGGTATGGAGGACAAGCTCGAAGACCTTGACGGCCTTGATAACTACGGCCCCAGTCTTTGGGAAGACAAGCTGGCCGACTCAAAGATGAGACTGTGGCTGAACAGAAAGGCCCGTGTCGAAATGGACAAGACCATGCCAAAGGGCCCTAGAACAAGGGCCTGGGTCGTGCAGTCAGGACGGGCCAAACGAAAGATATCAAAGATCGGCCTAGCACGATACCTCGCACAGGAGGAGTTTGTAAACCCATGCAAAAAGAACGATGGCTGCTGTGCGAGAAAATGCGGATGCTGCACCAAGCCCCGAGACGTCTCCAGCGATGGCGAAGTCTACTTTGCCCACTGCACGGAGCACTGCCTCTGCTGTATCGGCAGCCGGGGCTTTGCGACGCTAGATACAACAACCGGCAGCAAAATTCCAGGTTTCGTCAAGCTCACGCACGAGAACACGTTCCCACAACAAGCAAGGGCATTCCTCCCGGAGACCCCAGTGGCCCAGAATCTAGGAGAGGAGGAGCCTGCTTACCAGGCAGAGGCCCACAGCGTTGGCGAAGGCTTTGACGAATCCATGAACAACGAGACTTCATGAGACAACAGTGTGACATGAAATTCGAGCGTTACATCATCATCATCATCATCACATCATCGTTGTTGCTATTGTTGCTATTATTACTACTCACAAAGCTGTGCTAACCGTTAATATGAACACTCCCTTCCTGGTTTTATGTGCATAGCCAGCAAACATAGCGGTTGAGAAAAATAAAACTAAATGTTGACTGTGACCTTGAAAGTAGCTCGATTAGATAATATTCTAAACTCCGACGGCAGCCCACCTTTGCATCCCTCACGCTGTGCTGCGCTTTTTGCCCTTGCCGACCTCCCCACCTTATTATAACTCGAGATCTTCCTCCCCTCCTCATCCCTCGTCTTTCTTCCTCTTCATCAAACATGCGCCTTGCATCCATCCTCACCGTCCTGACTGCTGCAATCACCATGTCTGCTGCTTCTACCACTACCACCACCACCGACGGTCTCGTCATCGAGGTCCTCAAGGCCGTCGAGAGCGACCGCCGCACTGTCAATGGCGACAGCATCAAAGTGCACTACCGTGGCACCCTAGCTTCCAACGGCCAGAAATTCGATGCCAGCTACGACCGCAACGCTCCATTGGGCTTCACCCTCGGCGAAGGCCAGGTTATCAAGGGGTAAGTCTCTCCGTTGCTGATGAGACATTGCTCTTGTTGGCCCCGCGTACGTGTACTGACTTGCTTGTTGTGATATAGCTGGGAACAGGGACTTGTTGGAATGGCCATCGGCGAGAAGAGAAAGCTCACCATCCCACCAAAGCTGGCTTACGGAGATAGAGGAATCGGCCCTATCCCTGGGGGCGCCACCTTGGTCTTTGAGACTGAGTTGATGGAAATCTCCAAGTCTGAGCTTTAAGCAACCTATCCAGCACACTACAGATATATAACATCTAAACCTGTGACAGCCTCTGTATTACCTTACATTTAGGTTACAGAGCTCGGACTCAGAACCGGATGGGCAGTGATATGGATTCTCTGTTTAGATCGGTTGATGCCATACTTAATATGTCTATATATGGAATACAACCCAAACTACAGAGATGAATGATTTACTCAAGTAGTTACAGAAAAAGGAGCCCCCAAACAGGTAGTAAATTACGTAGACGTGGGCTTTATACATAGTTACGGGGATGTCGAGATGACTATGAGTGTAGATATTTACATATAATGGCTATATTGACAATCTAACTGGGTATCATGTTCCATAACTTACACCTATAAATGAAATAAATAACAACCAGACAGACAACACTCAGTCCATCTCGTCAAGTCCCGCATTTTGATTTTCACCAGGGGAGTGCTCGGCAACCAATATCCCAACCATACATTCAGCCAACATCCCATCCCAATTCACCCACGGATGGATCTCTACAAACAACTTCTCTGAATCCTTGCCAGCACCACGAAGCAGCTCTCCTTTCCCACCAGGGTGAAATGGCACAAACGGAGTAATATTATATACTTTCCCCTGGTACGATGTCCACGCATCACTGCCCTTACGTCCATTATGCTGCTTTAACATCGAGGGTGTAACCCTGATCAGTGTAGGTGGTAGACCCGCACCTCGAAGGTTGTTCCGTGGATTAGACGTCAGCGCTGCCCAGTCAAGTGGAGAGTGGCCTGGTTCTAATATGACGGGTCGAGATGATCGTTGTGGTTTGCCTGGGAGAGGAAGGACTGGGAGAGTGCTGGTTGTAGGCCGTGACCCTGGTGGGACACGGAGGGAGGCTGCGGCTGACGGTGGAGGGCGAAGAGGCGCCCTTAAAGAGGAAGAGGGCTTAGGAGCAGGCGGAGGCGGCGGAGGCATTAACGATGTGCTTGCTGGTGTGGGTAGGCGTTGTTCCGGTACTTTAAATGTTGGAACAGGGGGATCAAGTGTCATCCTAGGAGGTGGAGGGCCCATAACAGGAGTATTATTTGGTCCTGGTGAAGTATCAAGCCCTACTTTCGGGCTATTAGGCAGTTCTACGACAGCCTTCTCATCTTCAGATGTAGTTTGAGGTTCGTCGAGAGTTATAGGTGGGATGGTAGATGCTGGTATTGCAGGCTTTGCCTTTGGCGTTGTTTCTCCGTCCTGGTCATCTTTACTTGATGCTGGATCAGCCAAACTAATATCATTCCATCCAGAAGGAGGGAGGTTGGTAGAATTTGGCCCTGGGTTGGGATCACCCAAAGGTGTCCTTCGTCCTGTCAAAAAGCTCCATGGCGAAAGCAGAAATGACCATGATGTTGGCGGGTGCTTATAAAGAATATAGGATATAGAGGCTATTAGAGCCCCTATTCCCACCCACCCCATGCCAGCGCTGCGCCAACTGAGTTACCACCTTCAAGATAATTTGAACTCGAGCCCGTTGATATCGTGATATCCGTAAGCTGTAAGAGCCTCGCGTCTTTCAAAGAAATTTGATCTGATAAGATATTCACGTGACAAGTTCGTGAAACCTTAAAAAGGCTACTTTGACTGACCAGTTACAATTGACGTAAAATAATATAAATAATATCTTGAGGTTTGAGGCCAGCTTAATATATCGTACATAAGGGCATATTCCCCTATATCACACTCACTTGAACAGACGTCCTTCCATAATATCCAGGACAGCCGTATACATCGCCTCTGCTGCTGGTGCTGTACCTTCCTCGAGGATGTAATTCCCAGTATTCGCAAACCCAGTGATTATCTCCCCAGTCGGTCCGCGCTTGGGAACAAGAAATACCAAAGCGTAGTTTGATCTGTTGGATCCCTCATGGCCCAAAGTTGGCCCATTAGTCCACGGAGTTGTGGAACCATTGGCATAGATCCAGCCTCCAGGTGTATACTGCACCCCATCGGTCGATGGATATGGTGTATGCAGCATCTTAAAGGTTTTCTTACTTATCCCAAGCTTTGTGCGCCGACCGTTGAATCCATCGATGTGCAATTTAGGGAAGCTCATGTAGGATTTTATATCACAGTGAACAGTGCCTGCGGGGCCAATGGCAGGTGGATTATCTCGCCTAACCAGAGGTCCGCCCAAGGGTTCGGGGTTTGATGAAGAGTTATAGAAAAAATGACCCCAGGGGTTGTCAATGGACGTCTCTGAAGATTGAGGGGGTGTACCAAACCCACACTTCATCCCGAGAGGGTTGAAAAGTTCAGATGTGATGATCTGTTCCCAGGAAGCGCCATTTTTAACTCCCAAGAAATTTTCGATGATCCGGCCGAGAATCACATAGTTGGTGTTATCGTATGCGTATTGACCCCTGGTAGTCCCTGGTTCCTTGCTGAGCGTATGATTTATCATTGCTTTCCGACCTTCGACAGGGTCAAGGTTATAAAGGCCAAGGTAGAAGTCGACATCCTTTGAATAATCGTCAAAAATGCCTGATCGGTGCGCCCCAAGCATGGCAATGGTGGTATTCCGATGATCGTCATGCATTATATGGGCAAAGTCGGGCAGCACTTCTTGAAGCGTGCTGGTCCAACTAATCAACCCTCTGTCCACCATCATTCCGATAAGTGTTCCAGTCATTGCTTTCGTATTCGACCCCAGGTGGAACTTGTCGTTACGTTTGATTGGAATGGGTTCTGTGCTTTTGCGTCGACCGGTAACTTCGTACTGTAAATGGCCATTCTTGAATAGACCGGCAGCGAAACCAGGGAGTCTGAAATCGGCCCTTATCTTTTCTACCGCCTGATAATTCTGGCTATCGCAGAGGCACAGGGTAGGGTTAAGCAGTAACAACGACGTTACTGCGTATAATATTTTGACCATCTTAGATGAAAATGATTATAAAATTGGGTGGTTCTGGCGTGGGTATGAATATATTTGGAGGAGTTGATGAGGTCAATTGAACGGGGGAGGAGTTCAATTTATGCTCTCCATCTTCACATTCCCAGGGCTTCATACGAATGGCTATTTAGTTTAGTCGAGCTAAACATGGAGGATTCGTGGATCGTAGGACGACATCAAGGCCTCGCAATGGCCTCAGCCAGGCGGTTACGCACTCTTTTTGGCAGAGAATCTTTCAGCGTAATATGATAACCATACTAGGCTAGCACATCACTCGAAGAAGCCGGTCCCGCTGGAATCCGCAATCCTGCATCAAATCAGCTTCAAGTAGTAATAGGTGTGATCCGAATTTCCCTAGCTTCGTATAGAAACAGAGCTTAGGCTATGCCGCCATGATTATATAGAACAGGCAACAGGATAAAAGAGAGCTCGGAGGTGTTCGGCAAGTGTAGTATTTATTTGTTGATGACGCATCACAAATATGCGCATAAACGCTGGCTTCCATAATTCAAGGCTACCAGCTGATGTCCTCCCCTCTTGGCAGCCTTGATGATGAACGCACAATCGCACCAATGGAGTACGAGGCACTGATAACTAGATAAAGGGTTGGTCGTGTTTTTCTAGCGTGAAGAACGTTTTTGGATTGTTAGTCGTGGAGTCGAGTGACAGGACGTCAACAAACAGAAGAATTCGAGGCTTGAATAACCAATCGGATGAAAGGGAGGCTCGTGTCTATTTTTGGAGATCTTTCCAACACTCCATCACTCTTTGTCGGATATCAATTACAGGTACACCTACTTTTTCATGGCTATTGAAAGTTCCGTATTGAGACCTATGGTTTGATAAACGGGCTCGCGACACCCACTGGTTTTTTATTATAAGCTATACCACGCATGAGTTTTCTATGAACCGACCAAATAGTCTCTAGAATGCAGTCCCAGCACCAGTCTAGAACTATAGCGAACGGCCATGCGTATAGTCACCCATATATAACCACCATAAATCAGGAATGTTGATACGATTCTATGGCTATATTCGAGTAAATGGGATAACTTACCATGATACCCTGGCCCCTCTGCAAATTTTATATATCTATCTCTTGGGATGTGGCGGGTACCTCCCATTGTGCCTTGAATGGCTCAACGGCATATACTCCAAATCGTGGGATCAAAAATGCCAATTTTTAGATGAATGGAACTGTTGACGACTCAAGAACAAGGCCTGATACGCATCCATATCACTGAACCTAATTATCCTTTTTGCTGGAGAAGATAGATATAGACGCAATATATCGCAAAAGAGGCTGAAACTATTGGGTACTGCCCGTCCAATTGAATTTCAAATCTCCTCTAGAATACTCGGGACGATCGCCGTTCCTTTCATCCTCGAACGTCCCGAAAAGAGGGTGTCCCCTCGCACCTTATCCCCTATACATCAGGTTTCACATTGGATGTGACTGCCCAACCACTGATACCCGAGACGGCAAGGACAAAAACCCACTGCGTCCCACATTCCCCATGGGGTTCTCCATTTAGACAGATACACTTAGGCCGCCATACCAAGTTTTATTTATATGTATATAGGCACAACGGGAGTAGGTGTCTATTATATTTAATACATGGAGGTTGATGAACACGGAGTTCAGACGAAACCCAAATAGCCGCGATTTTCCTACTTGCCTTGAAGGCATGCTATCAGCTAACCGCCTTGGAAATATGAAGTCACTGCAACTCTCAACAAGCAACATCAAATAGACAAATTGCCTTCTAGCTCAAGGCCAGCCGCCCTAACATGTTCACTAGGATACTAATTTCGCAGTGTTGGCCTAAGCGACTCCTTATTGCTTGTTTCATCCCTGTTGCCGCCACGGCTCATACCGAGTGTCATTAATATTCTTGGCGAGAGTTGCTAGCTACTCGACCAGGACTGCGGCAAATAGTACGGATACAGGTACTACAGACCCGCACGAATCAGCCTTGATGAAGATCTACCCGCCCCTTGAAGCAGTGTTTCACCAGCTGCAAGAAATCGGGCGGAACCGCAAGCAGCCACTCCGTACAGCTGCGATCTTTTGTAGGGTAGAGCCGATCTCGAATGTGTGACAGGGAAGGAGGGGCCTTGGCGAGATGCCACGGCATTTGGTTATGGACTGATGTATACGTATGTGAAGTGAGGGGAATGTACAACGATAGTCCATGTTCGCTAACTACGCTCTTCCCCTGTCCAAGCTACCAGAGAGCTAACGGCATGCTACATCGGCAGGTCATCATCTACATTCTTTCTTGTAAATATTCCTTTGATATCATCAATATATTGATTGGGCAACAAGTAAACTCGCAAAACTCCAGCCGGTGCTTTTATGAACAAAATCGACTGTACTGAATACAAACAGGTAAACCGGGTCTTCGACCGTAACTAAAAATGCAAGAGGGGATATAGAAGTAAAACACAAAAAATATACACAAGAGAAAATCAAACAAGGTCATAAAAGTATGTGCAGGTCTAGGCCCATTTACCGAGCAGCGCCATCAACAAAGCTCCAAGACACAATAGGCCAAAGGCAGAGAGGACGGTTCGGATGGGTGCGCGTCTCATGGATGTGCTAAACATGAATTCGTGGGCCATCAGCTCGACCAGTGACGTGTACACAAGGATGCCGGCCGAGATAGAGTCAAAGATACCATTGACAATGAGCGTCGTGCGGCCCTCTGGAGGGTAAGCATTGCGCACACCCAAGCCAATGGCGATGGCGATAGACGTTGATAGGCCAAACGCGATCGCCAGGATGTAAGGGGTGTGTCTCTTTGAGTTCGGCCACGGGATAGTGGCGAGACGGGAACCAAGGCCGAGACCCTCGAAAGTTTGATGGAACGAAAGCACAATGAATAGTGTCTTGAACTCTTTACCGGCAACTGCGAGGGTGAGTCCTATGAAGATTGAGTGGAAGATGATGCCGAATTCCAGGATAAAGACGGAAGTTAGCTGTGCGCTATAATCCTCTAGTAAGGCGAGATGAGAGGCCTCGACAACGTCGGAGCCACCGTCCGATGGGTGATCCTGGGTGTGTCCAAGATGATCGTGGTCATGGCCGTCTGACTTGGGCTCGGCAGTGATAACGCCTGTTTCAACCTGGGATTCCGGTTTCGGGTGGTCATGGTCATGGTCATGGCCGAAACGTGCATACCTGATGACCATCAGCTCAACGAAGAAGAGAATAATGATGGTCATAAGCATGATGCCTTCGACCCAGGGGTATTCTTTGATAGGCCCCGTTAAGCAAGGATGGGAGAGCGCTTTATGTGCAGGAGCCATCAGGTGGATGAAGGACGTAGCAGTGATGACACCTGAGCCGAAGAACTTGGCAACGAAGAACACCCACGAAGGAAGCTTGTGTTTCGAGGGTGAGTTAGGGTCCCGCCTAGCAAAGACGGGTAGGATAGCGCCAGCTGAAGAGCCGACAAGCATGACGAAGATGGCGACAATACGCAGGTTAAGCTGACCGTTGTAGTCATTGCTGTTGTTGCAAGCCACAAAGGCGGCATCCTCCTCGGCACCATGTCGTTTCCAGAGAGTGGCGGCTAGTAACTGGTCCATGATGATGATTTCCCAATATTGTATAGAGGTGAATAGGGTGAAGAAAATGAATATAGAAGTGGGAGGCAGCGTTTATTCCAAGTAGGAGGGATATGCTCTTTTGAACTGCCCGGATCGAATGCGGGGGGAGAGTGGAGGCGATTTATATATTTTGACAGCCAGTTGTGAGCCAAATAAAAAGGAAAGTTGGACTTCCAGCACAGCTGGCTCAAAATCAACAAGTCCTCTGAAGTAAACGAGAATTCGATGGAGAGTAGAGACCGGAAAAAGCAAAAGGGAGCAGGGACAAAAAAAATAGAGAGCCTCGTGGAACCTAAACAAGGTTGGCTGCAGAAATGGTAGGTATATTTTCCGGACGGGTGGGAAAGCAACCAATTGAGGGTAGGTGCTCCAAAGGCCGATGCAATGGAAAGCGTATATATAGCTCCGGGTGACCAGTCGGGGGAGGGCAACGGCGTTGAGAGGTGGGTGTGAGGCTGGAATTAGTGTCCACGGCGGGAGCGAGGGAGGCAGGGAGGCCGGAGAATGCTGGAGGGGAACCGTCAGTTGGATATCAGATAGATCGATGTATGCTCATGCTGCCATCCGCATGTCTTGCGCTGCCTGTGTAGCGTACCCTATCCTGTCTTGCGCCTGTCACCGGGCTTCGCTATCTGCTCCTTTGTCCTGCGATCCGGCTGCTGCGTGTCAATGAGGGCGTCCCGTCCTCGCTGTCCCTCTTCGTGACCAGAGAGTCCAACTAGCAAAAACGAGGAAGCAGAAGAAAAAAGAACGCCATGCATGAGGACCTTGGGAGCAAGGATGACAGTATATGTGCTGAATAATAGTCACGTGGAAAATCACGGGACGCGGCAAGACAGACTCGTCTTGGAAGCCTTGGCCGGCGAGCGATCAAGTAGTTGCGACATTGGCTGTGTTAAAAAGGGAGATGAAAGGGTCCAGTAGGAAAGAGAACCGAGAAACAGCCAGTGTTGAGGAGGGGAGAGTGTGAGTTCTGTATGGATATGCATGATAATACCGCAGATAAGTGACGCGCGGGAAGACGAGGAGCCCGTTCGATGATCAATGAATGAAACGACATGGATGCCCACACAGGGGAACAGCAGGACGTGCTGAGAGAGTAAAAAAAGGTCTGATTATTGCTAGATTCCGAGCACTTTACCAGCTTCTCCAAACGGTGAGCTTGAGGTTTCTTCCACTGCTCCTTGTTCAGCAGCTTCAGAATCGTCTCCGTTTTCGTCTTGCACTTGCGTGCTGTCAGGAAACTGCAGGTTCATCCCTGCGACGGCATACCAGGCAAACATCCCAAGCCCGGTTACCACCGTCAAAGTTGATACTATAGCTTCCCGACGCATGAATTGGGCGATTGCCATCGTGGCCTTTTGTTCCTGCTCGCCGGACGCGGCTTTGCTCAACTGTTGCATGCGCAAGCTGGCCCGGAGGTCTCTCACAATTGGGATGGCATCTGCGAGTGACTCTGCGATTCTAAGCCCAATCCCTGCAATAGTTGCGGGCTCGGATTCCTGCCAAGGCAAAGTAGCCGCTGCCCGACCAGTGTCGACTGATTCAACCTTTCCGCCGTAACATTTCAATTGCATCTGCTCAAAATACTGTACCAGTCGTGGAGAATATTTATGTACGCCTTCTCGAAGCCATGCTGATGGCGTCTCCGGAACAAGCGCAAGTGATAGGTATCCCAGGGCCAAACAATCTAGACTACACGGCGTATCCTCGGTCAAGAGGTATCCCTTCCCGTTCCGCAGCTCTTCCAGTGGGCTCACGAATGTCTCCGTTAATCCATCTAACCGGATGCGACTCTGCTGTGATGTTTTACTTAGGAGACCACTTATCGTGTCGCGGGGCTTTGTAGCAAGACTCTTTGGTATCTGACTGGACGCAGATGGCGTCTGTCTCCCATCCTGCTGCTCCTTTTGTTTCTCCTCTGCGGCATCAAGGTCAAGGTATGATAGGCCGAGGTGTTCAGTCCGCGTCTTTGCCATTGCCCGTAGCTGTGGCGGCAATATCCACTGGTTTGGCCATTGGAGGAGGGATCCATATGCAGGTGAAGTAATAGCATAGTAGTTTTCACTCGAAACGTATAGCGAGAGGTCGATTAACGGTTGTCCATAGGATTCAATAAAGCTTGAAAATCTGTATTATTTCCAGATTAGTCCTCAATTTCCAAAAACTTGAGCCCTTTCAAGCGTTAAGGGGACAAAACTCACACGATGCAATCTGCCCTTTCCTTCTCGCCCATCCACCCATCAAGGTCCCATTTCCCTTCAGAGAACTGCTTCAAATAATGAATGATATTGCGGTATCGACTGATCCATCGTGAGCCTGTCCAAAGTGCCGGCAGTTCATCTATCAAAAATAGGTTAGCAAAAGAAAAAGCATGTCAAAGCTCCCAACAGGAGTTGAAAAAAGGCTTAAATGAAGCATTTTGAACAAGAAAAGACGTATATCTTACGTGTTGGTACTCTTCCAGGATCACTGTCTGCAACAAGCACCCATTCGTCTGGTCCGCCATTATTCGGGCCGATAGCAAGAGAGAAGTAGGCGATGGTAGCCAGACATTGCGGATCGATCGAAGGTAGGCCAAAAGCAGGCCCCCAAACGTGTAACTCCAGAACCATGATTAAATTAATAGATTAATAGTATTACAAGAGAGAAAAGAAGAAAATAACTAGAAACCCAGGAACCAGAATGAAGAGAAACTGATGAAGAAGAGCTCCCAAACTGCGTGGTCTCCGTCGTTGACGTTGACATAAAGCTCAGCGGCGAATCAGGCTGGATTCTTTTTTTTCCGCCTTTGGGATAAATATCGCCGACCCCGAAGCCATAGTACCTAGTCACGTGTCAAACTGACCGCCCAAGCCCACAGAGTAAACAGCGAAAAAGTTTGCCTGGAAGAAGCTCCATCTAACTACCTAGGCGGTTCACGGATCTATTCCACGCGAGGAGTCAAGATATTGTGCCGCAGGATCGTGCAACATCTAATTTGCCCTCGAGGAGTGGGAGATGTCTGTGAAACGACCTATACTCCTGCCTCTCAAGGTCTCCGCATCGCCGCTCATTCGCCCCTTTCATCTAAATTGGTGTGCCAATGGGTGTTTCTGCGCACCTCGCAGAAACGGAAAGTCTTTGACATCTAGATCCCGAGTTGTCTCGATCCCATTCCAGGCGTCAGCAAAAAAGTCGGTGATGCAGCATGCCTGAGCACCCTCCTGGCTACATGCACTACAAAAATAACCTAGGATAGGAGAAGGAAGAAAAAGAATGAGAGAGATGATACAAAGGGGAAACTTTTGTGCTTCAGCTCGATCTAAATTCATAATTCATGCATGAATCTATCGGGTCCAGCCGCTGCCAGCCGTGGAGGTCTCGTACTCTGATGCGAGATCTAACTTAGCAGCCATGTGCTATAGCTTCCCACGGAGTCTTGGTATGCATGTATAATAGAACCAGTTCTATTTTGCAAATCAGCCTCGAGATGACACTCCGTCAAAGATAAGGAATGTCCAGGTGACATGTCTTTTGAGAACCCGGGGTAGCCAGAATGAGAAAAGAAGAAAAGAAAAAGGCAACACAACGAAGGATTGGATACGAGAGTAGGATCGTGAATACGCTCGGGGAACTTGACAAAACCGTCTTCACTGTCATTTTACGATTTCCCCGCAGTTTTCATCCTGCACTCCTCGTGCCGTGCTGTCGGGGCTGAGATGTTGGACTGCGAGGGGACTTATCCCAACAGTCTGTCACCCACATGTGTACCAGGTGATGAGGCTGATTGATACTCCGTAAAGCAATTGACGAAATTTACCCTGCTAACAAGTTGCTGCGCTGGCATCCAAGCTTGCGACGCTCTTTTGACTATGACTAACGTAACTGTCGGATGTTACCTGCATAGTAGAAAAGGCTACACGAATGAAGCAACGGGTATGTATCATTGCGGACAAACTACCCGCCGGATATATTTGCTCACGAGGGATGTGGTATCAGATTGCGAGGTTTATTGAACATGGGTGATCAGATATAGCTCGCCTTACTTGGTATGTATATAGTGGCGTGTTAATAATCTATGTGTTGTCAGGGGGTACATGTTCTCCGGGATACTAGTTAATTTGCAGTTATGACTGCCTGAACAAAATTAGTTATCGGAATAGAGCTGACGTTTGGCCGCTTGCCTCTCTGCGTTGGCGCTTGAGGATGGCACGGGCCGCGTGCCCGGCCTTTTCTCCTGCAAGTCATGAGGGCCTCAAGCGAGGCCCAGAGTTGGATAAAAAAGAGGAGACGTTTGGCACAGCGCACCAATATCCCGGGGGGTGTTCAATGTTGGACATGCAAGGATACCCGATTACAAATGGCCTAGAAAACGCATTACCACCAAGTTCAACGGTCTGAAAATATCAAAAACTAACTATAAAATCGGCGATCCAGATTTGCTGGGCGAAGTACGCGGTCTTTTCGCCTGCTAGGTCAAAGAATATATAGGCCTACCTAGATTGTCGTTGATAAGGTCTGATTAGGCCGTAGGAACTTGGTTCTGATTTGACTGACGAAGTTACCATGATAACTAGATTTTGCAATGATGACCAGCTTCCATTAGACCCAATCTGTGTTTGGATAAGGAGCATGCCGAGGATGTGCCAATGTTGAAGATAAGGGCGGATTCATGCGATAAAATAGTCAATAAAGGTGATCAGCCTAAGTTTAGTGGGTCTAAGAGTACCATAAGTGGTGCTTTGAAGGTTCGTAACCGCACGAAGCTATAACTACAATTGGCTGCAAGTTTCATTATCATAAAATCCCTCATACATATATAAATCATAGAGGCCATGATTACCAAGAACGAAGCGGTAACTAGAAATTTCTTCCATGCCGTTTGTTCCGGGCTCCTATATTCCCAAGCCTAGACGAGTGGGAAGAAGAAGCGAATGCAGTAGCCGACGCTGTGGGATATTTAGCTACTCCGGATACCCGGCGCGATATTGGATGCTTACTGCTTGGCAATAGAAAACCCCGAACTTCGGTAGGCGATTGAAGAAGAACGGGGTTTGCTCCAACCTTGGGTGCCTAGTCATGGTAGTCTTAGCCAGGAACATATATGCGGTAGCCCCGCCGTTGATATTTATATCCATAACTCCGAATTTGGGGAGCCAATTTACGACCAACTCTGGGCTTTGTGATTGGTTTATATATTTCATCTACAATTCGCACACCGTGACATTGAAGCCCAAAATACATTACTTATCAACAAAACATGGCACAATTACAAGGACTATCAACTGAGTAAGGACCTCTATGGGGGCTTATCAGTAGATTATGATATTACTGCACCCATCCGTCTCGGGTTCACCCATAGCTTGGCTACCACGCCACCAGACTAAAGTTCAGCCTTAACCTAATATGGTTAGATGGTGGTGTATGGTACCTGAGAAAAGTGTGTATTTAATGCGTATGATACCGTAATACTTCTATATTGGGTTTAGTTTGGTTACGGAGCCCCACTCGGGTGCAACCCAATTTTCAGCCTTAAAGCATTGCGCTACATCCAAGTCCCAAACACTCCTCCAGCCTCACCGGTCGACCTCACTCCTATGGTCACAACTCCATATTGTTAGCTATAACTGCTGCTGTGACCTGCGCTGGAGAAATATTCAAGCAACAAAGCTTTCAGTATCGGAATAAAAAATTATGTAATATTGATACTAGCTACACCATCCCAAACGCACCTTTCGCCGAAGTAGGCCTTGTCCTTGGCCTGATAACGTCCGCTAATACAATAGCCTAAAGCACTCGGCAAGTCTAGGCCATTGACAGCGGTAGAATTCTTCCTGCAGGTCCCAAGAAGCTAATAGCAAAGTTGCATATCGATTTGAAGGTCCCCGAGAAGCTAGAAAAGTATATTGGAATTACGATGCCTTCGAGCCTATTCTAAACGAACGACTGGAATCTCTAGACAACATACCCGTAGAGGTTATCTATGGAGTGGCATGTGGGAAGTAAATAATTCTAGATTGGGTCAGTAGGTGAAAGCTGCTCACACGATCGGGGAATGGTGGAAGGGATTCTGGGCATCCAGTAGTTTGGAATAGTTAAGAAAAAATTCCCCGAATAAAAAGGTAACTGGCAGCTGCTGTGCATAATAGCCAAGCCATAACACTGCTTAGTGGGCTCTAAGGAATATATATGTTTTGAACTATAGTAGTGATGCCCGAACTAGCAACATTAGTGGTGGAACTTTGTGAACAAGAGCACAGAGAAATGCGGGCAATCGGAATAACGGTCTAGGCAAAGTGTATACATTTTTATTTAAGTTGATTTAGCTATGTTAAAATAAAACAGTACTTAGCCAACTATGCCTTCGGATAAAAGGGACAAGAGAGCTAATGTCGGTCGCCCGGCATTCTTGCATATATAGGACGCTGGAGCTTGCTGCGGAGCAAGATCCTGCGGGAGAATGTTCCGTCCGGGGTTTACGGGCCTGCAGGTAGCCAAGCCTGGATGTATGAACCGGATTTTTGGACGGATTTTTTTCCCAGTCCAATCACGGTCACCTTACACTAAGCTGTCGTTGTGACCTTCGTTCCACTGCCGTCTGACAAGTTCAATGAAATTTTCCAGGACTGTCCTATCCGTATAGACGTGAAAGCATCCGGAATAATGCAGTGCAATCCAGTGAGTGGTATCCTTTTCATCGTTGAAAGAGTGCAATATAAACGCGAACCACACTAAAGGGGAGCCATTTTTCCCGCCTAGAGCCGATTCGCTTGCCACCGCTAGGTTGTTCGCCCGCACACTTTAGGTGAAACGAACGAAAAGCAGACGAACTCCTGTACGCCCCCTCGTAGAGCATGCAGAATAACCTACTTAGCTAGCTGGAAGGACCGGTCGACGCTCCTTTCACCCCTGGTAGGCAGGAGATTTGGTCCGGCCAAAATGACGGAGGTCAGAGTGGTCGCCGTTTAAGAAAGCCAAGAGTAAATGCCGCAACCTAGCAACGGTGTCGGTAGCTGAAGTGAATAGCTGCCGAGAATCATATCATGAATGAGGTATGCTGAGAAGCCGAGAAATTCGGGGGCATGGAGGGTATCGAATTGGCAGGTCCCCTGCCAATCAGCTTTTACTAAAGAGATGCTATGGTATAGACGTTTATTCCACACATCGCCCTCAGGCACCGCGCCAAGACTTATTCAACCATGGAAATGACAGAAAAATAAATCCTTTCGTGGGTAACAACTTAGACACGATGGAGACCTTAGAAGTGAGCCTGGCACTTTGAAAGGCGAAGGCCAAGACGAAGATATGTCAAAGTGTGCTGCACAAAAGAAAATCTTTTTCTATTGGCCGATGGCGGGCGCATAAGTGCAGGAAAGAATAAACGAGGATTGGTGGAGAATGTCTTACATAAACAATTGTCTTATTGGACGTTCCTCCCGTCTCTTACTGGGTTCCCCCAGCCTCTTGCACTCTCGCAAGTCGCAAGGCATTATTTGGTTGATTTCGCGCGAATTCGAGCCTGCTATGAGGAATCCAGATAAACATTAGGTAGTTATTTGTCAGTAACTCTGTTTGTGGCCTGACGATGTACTTATGCAATATGAACTTTGTAAGATGGAGGAAAGCTTAATAA